ATATAGGAAATACTGTCCAATTACGGTACATTTTTTGTGACAAGCAGCCATTCCATGTATGTTCTGCAGGCTAGACTAAGCAACTACTCCTCACGATGACTCCATTTTGCAATTAAAATCTCTTGTATTTAGAGACACACTTTGCTGTCACGTGTTTATTGTGACCTTATTTTTAGGAACTATGAATTGGTACCATACTTTCATTAAAATTACTTTTACATGAGTTCGGCCACTATTTCTCGGCCCTCAAATGCATTGTTCTTAGTAACTCTTAACTCTTAATATAAATGTTTCGCAGAAATTACTTTAATTTGTGTCTAATATAATCGAAACTTTGCATACTTAACATTTTTTTTTTCATATATTAGGCATATAGCATAGAAAATAAAATATTTCCATACTTAAAAATTTTCGATTTCCAAATTAACACCCAACTAAAGATTATTAAAGTCGATAAAATCGAGGGCATGTTTCTAAAACGTTTGATCATAAAATAGTGAATTTGAATGTCCTATATTTCAATTTACCAAATATGTCGTAAATCTTGAGTTCAATTTCCATCTCAAAATGTGTATGTAGTTTATGACAACTTATGTAAGTGGAGAATCTTATTAGTATCATTCATGATATGTTTCATTTTTACTGCAAAAGGTAAACATGGGAAAATTCTCTCCAAAAGCAAAAAGAAAAAAAAGAACATGAATATTTTCAAATAAAACGCTATAAATACCTACATGATCATATTAATAATAATAAGGGAAGATTACATATTCAAAAGTATAAGTTTAGTCTATTTCAAAAATAAGAACACAAGTTTAAAGTTACCAAAATCAGATTTTTTTAAATTTTTTTAAAATTTTTATTTATGAAATAATAAATTATTAAATTAATATATAATTAAATATTTAATTATAATATAATAAAATTAACCCATCCCACCTTCACCACCCCTACCGCTCCGACGACCGTTCTGATCATCGCCCTACTCCGACGAACTTTCCGACGACCGTTCCGGCGACTACTTCGATTCCGCACGACCGTTCCGACGTCGATTTTTCTGGCGAATGCTCCGCTATATTTTTTTGTACAGTTAACATGTTTTTTTACGGTCACAACCCAGGTCACAAGTCACAACCCATGTCACAAGTCACAAGTCA